TTTAATGAGAGAATTACACTTAGTGAACAAATCATTCTTTTAATTTGGATCTTTTTATTGAGTCTGTTGATCCAATTCACAAGACCTGAATGATTCAGTCTTCAGAAATTCTCCTTTCTGTTCCATGGAAGAAGGAAAGTCATTTGGAATGACGTGAGGGTGAATAAATGATAACAGAATTTTCATTTTTAGGTGAACTATGCTTTAAAAAGAAACCTCTCACAGACACACACCAGCCTCATCCACTGTCACTATTTAAAGTGCGTGTATTATGTGCGTGTGTGTGTGTGTGTGAGATAGGATGACTTCAGAGATAACCTCAGGTTGTCTGGATGATCCAGAGACCGCAGGTGTATTCATCGGACCTTGAATGAGGGTAACTGTGCATTCTTCTTCTTAATCCAGTTTATTTAATAAAGCAACCTTTGTGCATGTTTGTCAGTCAGAGCAAACGCTGGCATACTAAACCTTCCTCTGTGTCCTAACAAGCAAATAATCAGTCTAAACTGAATGCAAAACTGCATTGTGGCAAAATCTCAGGCAATCAAAAGTTAATGCATTTATGTGAAGCAGAATTTTGGTCCAATGAGATTTCATGGTGGGCGGAGGCCACAAGTAGTTGCGACAAAAAAATATTTTTTTCTAGAACGTTTTTCTATTTTTGTGTACACTATAAGAGATTGTTTTACAAAGTTGTAAGTAAAAAAGATTGGAGCATTTTTTAAATTATTTTTTTTTACTTCAAAATTTCACATTTTATTCAATGCGTTACTTGCCATTTCTTTGTAATTATTTTTGAAATTTACTTGCAATCTCAGTCCCACTTTATATTAAGTGGCCTTACCTACTATGCCGTCCTTACATCAAAAAATTCTTATTGTGTTTATATTGTAATGCAAAACACTTCTGCTGCTATTGAGGTGGGGTACGGGTAAGGTTAGGGACAGGTTTGGTGGTATGGGTAGGTTTATGGGTGGGTTAAGATGTAAGGGATGGGCCAACATTGTAATTATAAATGTAAGAAACTAATTACAGATGTAATTACAAGCAGGTATTTTTAAAATAAAGTACAATGTAAAAACATGTATGTACACAATAAGTGCATTGTAGTAAATGATTAATGTAAATGTAAGTACAGACCACTTAATATAAAGTGGGACCGCAAATTCAAAGTGTAAATTGTTTTAAAGTAGCCACCTTTTCCAGTGTACCTAAATCATCCCAAACAATTGCTGTGCAACAATACAACTGATTGGTTGATATTGAATCAATACATTTGAAAACTAAGGCTATCTGTTTCACCCTCCTTTTCCTAAGTGGCCCCCATTATCCCTGAACATCCTTGATCTTTTCCCACTGAATTGCAGCTGGTGGATTTTCTTGCGGTATCATTAAAGCAGTGACACTGGCTGACATGCAGGGGGGTTTGGTATGAAGGGTGTATAATGACATTCCTCTCTCGCAGAGATGAGTCAAGTCCCATTGAAGCCAGCAGGGGACCAGAGCAGGTCAGAATGCTTACTGGCCTCCCGATGCTGTCTCCTTCATGCCTATTCTCGCAAAAAAAGAGTTTTCCGAATTTTAATTAATTCAGAATTAGAGTTTTGTGTTAAGTGCTTGTGTATGTTTCCGTCTGAAAGGGCTCTTTCCTTTTGAGAACACAAGAATAAAAGCCTATATATCCTTAATGCGAGCCACATTGTTACGATAACAAAAAGAGCAGCTTAAAATCCATATTATATGTTAAAAAATATAAATTTAACCATCAGTTTACCTCATTTTTAGCTTGTTTTTTGGCAACTTTAAGTAAAAAAACAAAACAAAACCACTTTAAAAAGGTGGACTGCACACAGAATGCCAAATTTGATTGAGTTCTAAAAGTAATTTAAAGTAATTAATTTCAGTAAACTTCTAAACCAATTAACATCTCTAATATTTAATATACGGTTTTGACCAGTTCATTTCCACTGTTTTGACGGGTACTTCAGATAATAAGAGCTACTGAAAAGTGTTTCCAGGTCAAGCCGAGACTTGATCATCTGAGGTCAGGCCTCTTCTGAGCTGTTGTGTTGTAACCGAGCTGAAGTTTTGATAGATAACAGATGAACGGCGGTGGAAACAGCCAGCTGGATCCGAGAGGATGGTGGCTTTGCGGTGCTGTTGTGGGAAGAAGCCACAAATACCTTGTTCCTCTCTGTCTGGTATTCGGAGTGATTGTGTCTCAGCTTGCTCGTCATCTGTAATGCATGTGAAATTGAACAGAGCTAGACAGGCTGATTGCTTCCAAGAGCTCTCGCTGATTAAGACTGAGCTTAATTAGTTCATCTTGAGAGGATAAAGTCAGATATTAGCGGCCTGGTAAGCTGTTGAAACCGATTAAGGAAGAAATCGGCCTGATTATTGCAGCTCTGTTCATCATAGATTTAAAGTCCATTCAGATGTGAAGGGATTAAAGGCAGAGGATCTACCAGGATGAATTAAATTCTCACTCTAGGACAAAAATACATTTGATTTACTCATTTAAAAAAACTGAACACACACACACACACACACACAATTATTACTGTTTATATTATATGTGACCCTGGAGCACAAAAACAGTCATAAGGGTAAAATTAGATTTTATTTTGAGATATATACATCTGAACGTGGAATAAATAAGCTTTCCATTGATGTATGGTTTGTTAGGATAGGACAATATTTGCCCGAGATACAACTATTTGAAAATCTGGAATCTGAGGGTGCGAAAAATCTAAATACTGAGAAAATTGCCTTTAAAGCTGTCTGAATGAAGTTCTTAGCAATGCATATTACTAATCAAAAATGAATTTTCAATATATTTACGATAGGAAATTTACCAAATATCTTCATGGAACATGATCTATACTTAATATCCTAATGATTTTTGGCATAAAAGAACAATCGATAATTTTGACCCATACCATGTATTTTTGGCTATTGCTACAAATATACCAGTGCTACTTACGACTGGTTTTGTGGTCCAGGGTCGCATATTACTTCTGTTTCTAATATAGCCTATTTTTAAGGTTGATTCAGTCACATTATTATACAAATAGTTATATTATTGACTATTATTTGTATTATGTTATTATTTTTGGACTAAAACTAATTTGTTAGGAATAACTACTAACCAAATGTGTGCCTGTGTCATGTAAAATCATGAAGTTGATTTTGTATATAGACACGAAAGCACTATTTGTTTCATCACATTTTGTTACATAGCACCACTAGTTTTTGAAAGTTAATGTCTATTGAAATCCTTCAGTAGAGCTATTTCTCCTGCTACATTCAAATTATTTTCTATTAATCTATTTCTGTTTTTTTTTAGGACTGCATGTTCACCGATGCCATTCAGACTCCTTCAGATAGAAGACAAGAAATGATGACGCATCTACCTATTTACCTGCAGCCATCTACGTTTTCGTATCACTTTCTTTCTCACGCTCTCATTTTCGCTCCCCTCCACTTTATCCATTTATCCAAATCAAAGAAGTTATGCATTGTCAGTGGGTAAATATTACACCTTTGTCAGAGAAAACAGCTGCGGGTCAATGACTCGAGACTCCTTTGCTCTTTGTCAGTTTCTTCTGGTGGCACTAAATGTCAACATATGAGTAAAGCCACGCAAATAATAATGCTTCAGCCCCGTGGCCTTTGTGTGTGTAAGTCTATGAGTGCGACTGCATGTTTGGCAACTCTCGCTTCATAAACGAAACCAGAAGATGCTGGTGGTTTGGAACGAGAGTGCAGCGGGGACCACATGCTAACTGGGACTACTAAAGCACATTAGTTCTGACAAGTATTGTATCATGAGCCAGGGGGGCTTTTGTCGTACGCCTACACAAATATTTTTGCAAAAAGACTCATGTTACAAGAGAACCCTGTGAGGTCAGTGGTATTTTGAGGATGGGGTAATTAGTGGAACTATGATATAATATAACATATCAGCACCATTCGGAGGTAAATATGATCTCTGCTGTCGCGAAATCTAATGAACATAAGAGCTTTAACAGGACTAGCCTAATGTCAAATCGGAATAACAGAATTCAAACAAATGGGAAAAATGACATTAAAATTTTTAAATAAATATTAAATTCTGTTATTTTTCAAACTTTAATATATTTTAGTAATATTGCAGGACTAAAGTAGTTAATTATTTAATTTGTTTATATATTTATATAGCTAAACTCAACCTATATATAAAATAATTTTATATATATTAAGTCTATGAAAGGTTTTGACTTTAGTTTCAGTTTTGAATGTCTTGATGTTATGTTTTGATTTCAAATGAATAAACTAAACAAATTACCATTATTAAAGCATGTGTGATATGTGTATGTGGACCATTTCAATATACTTTGCATAAATTATGCTGCAAAACAAGCTCTTATTTGGTTATTTGGACAATCAAAATCAAAAATTAAAATCGCAAATATGATTATAATACACGACACAGCGACTTTAGAGAAAAATAAATGTTCAAAGCAGCCTCGGGTTCATGGTGTAATGATACTCGGGGTTAAACCCCAATGAATTTATTGAGACCCAAGCCAAGGGACATCCACACTAATGCCCCAATTAACACTCCTAACACGGCTGGAGTGCTGAGGCTATTAGCGAAGACAACAATATACCCCATCCAGCAGCCTGCTGGCTGACACCTTAACCTAACCTTATCTCTGACAAACACGCTGCATTCATTTCACAACACTCCGAGTTTCAAAAACAGCCTCGTTCGAACATTCAAAATAAATGGAGCCGGGCGAAATGTGGCAGCGAGGAAAAAGACAGGCTAGCCTTTTCCGTCCCTCCAGTGGCTGAGGTTAAGATTCTTTGGACTGAGCCGAGAAGCTTTTTTCCACGCAGTCAACTGAAAGTGTTCTGTATTTACTGCCCTCTGAAAAATGATCACTGACCACCATTCTCCCCCAGTGCTACTGGAGAAAGTGATGCAGAAAGTGGGGATTGTTGCTACTCACCACCAGATGGGATAGCCTCCAAGCACCCGAGAGCTGGACAACCACATGCACATGAGATATCCAACCAGGTACAAATCCATGAGGTATGTCTTGTGTGGATGGAAATTGCTATTGATCAGTACATAGAATTCCTAGAGAGGGGCTGAAAATTAAGTCCCAGCAGGCAAGTCTTAAGGTGGAAAAAGATGGATGCTTGAGAGAATAATTAGCAATTTTGGGGTTTAAATGAAAGCAAAAAAATAAAATAAAATAAATAATTCTCCAGGGTTTGCTGCTTCTTTGAGTTGGGTGAGGAAAGTGTGTGTGTCCCAGTAGTTAGGAGAGTAAGTGTCTCTTTCACACACTCGCTCCTACTCGTCCTCTGATTCCCTCCCTCTCACTGAGGTTCTTCCCTAAGGTACATATCTTTTTCTCTCCCCACTTTTTTTCCCCTTAGGATCATCAGGGCCAATATTAGAGAGAGAGTGAGAGAGAGAGGGGAAAAAACGACAAGCGAGGTTTGGAGATGTCAGCTGGCAAGCCAATCACAGAGCATGGCCTTAGGTTACGCAAAAAAAAAAAAAATTATTATTCCTGCCCATCTGTCAATCATGCACCACCCCCTGGTAATGTAGCAAAGAAAGAAAGAGACAGAGGTAGAGAGAGAGGAGGCTGGGAGGGAATAAGAATGAATGGGTGTCAGCACTGAGTTTTCACTGAGGTAGATTTGTCTTATTAAGATCTATATTGTCTGTATTAAAATCAAGGAAACCCAGCTGAGTCAGAGTAGGGCCTGCTGACGGCATTGGAGAACGGCGTCACTATATTTAAGTACGCCGTGCCCTGAACTAATTGTTCCGGATGCGTGTGCGTGCACATGCATTCACGCATTGAGAAGAATTTTGTCTTGGAGAATTTTGATGGCCGCGTCCTCCCCTTGTGATGATGGGACACAAAGGAAACACAATAAAAAGCCGTAAAAGCTGGTGTGGCATGCAGTGTTCTGTGCCCCAGTGGCCCAAAGGCAGTACATTTTACATAAACACTATTGTCATTCGGATGGGATGAGGGCAGACGGCACTGAGAAAGAGACACAGCACTAAAAGTTGACAATGCATTCTAATATAGACTCTGTCTCAGACGGACCTAAAATGCCGGGACAGAGGCGAACTGACAGTGGTTTCAGTTAAAAATACTGGAGACCAAAATTGCATTCAAATGAGTTTTATATCAGTAAGCATGTGTGGTTCTCCACACAAATAAGCCTAGAAATTAACAGAATAAATCATCGTCAGACAACAAAATTTGAATTAAAGATTCTGAATAAAAAAAAATCTGAGAAATTAATATGGCTGTGATTTTTTTATTGTGAATGTTGACTTGAAAATAGTTTCTTTGGAAGTTTTGAAAATAAGTTTTAAAAGTTTGAAAGTCTATTTCTTTGAATTTCTTTGAATTGCAATTCAGTGAATTCCTTTTCCTGTCATTCCAATTCAAATTCCAATTCAGTTTCCTGTAGGTTGTGGCCAATTTACTTCAAATTCCAGTTCATAATAATAAAAAAAAGTTTTCACATAAGTGCCCACCTCTTTTCCAGGAATGTTTAATTTGTGTTATTGTCCAGTATTCTCTTGCTTGGCTGTGGTTGGATAAGACTTTCTCCTCCAATCCAGTGATCAAGGACTGAAGCCTGTGTTTCTGTTTATCTGCTAGTGTATCTATCTGTCTCACTCACAGCAGGGACATGGTCTGTGCGCAGCCACCGCAGGAGCTGAAGGGAGACACTGACAGCTCTGACCACGGTCTGGAGGTCATATTTTCTTTGCCTCGATCTTTGCCTTTATTCTCCCACATCAAAACGGTCAGATCTGCGCTGCAACTGCACTGCGAGGTCATTCTGACATCTTAAATGTTCATGCATTTCAGTGCTTCTAACAGGATGCTACACCCCTGATCTGATTAGATATGAACCTGTTAGTTAGATTGCAGGTTACATCGATGTTTAGCATACACTGTGTTCCCGACATCGAGAATAAAGATCTGCTTTCCATCAGCTTCATTGTGCCTAGATCAGCGGTTTGATTCTGCATTCTTGAAGAGTGACAGACGCGGATCTGCTCGCCAGGATTGGCTGGGAAAACCTGATCGGAGCGTAATTTATGAGCGGAGGCGAGGAACGGCCTGCGGTCGGCATCTCAACAACACTGAAACCACATTTCCCAGGTCAAGGCCGTAAGGCCATGACACAACGGACCGGCTGGAAATGAGCTTATGATTAGAATCTCAAGGACTCAAACCCCAGCATGCACCGCAACGGTGTGAAGCCAGCACAAAAGCCAGAGATGCTTGACATAGCTACAGCACAAACAAGACCATTCCCTCCTAGCATAGCCATTGTGCTTTGGAGGAAGTCTTGATTCTCGTATCAATCGCACTTAATGAATTTACTGAAGTGGGCCCTAGAGCATGGAAATGAAGTGCGCTAGCAGATCAATGGGAATAAAGAGACTCGCCCGGAGCTTTGACCTCTGGGTCAGGAGTCTCTCATCCTCCCTCATTAAGTCATGTTTTTGGACACTCCTGCTTTTTATTAGGGCTAGGCTAATACATCACCCTACACACCCACAAAGTAGCCCCTATAATCTGGGAAAGACACCCTTTTGGCTTCCTGTGAGTGGATTGAAGATAATTCGTGAATGACACAAGCCAAAACATAAGGTGCAGTCACATGTAACGATGGTCTATTAATCTATTAATTTTGCTAGGAATCCATACGATTGGGAATTTCACACAGATTTGCCCCACTTACCAACATAAAGACGCGTGTTTTGAAAGTGACCTCTCGGTGAGTTCTTCTTCATAAATTGCTAGGCTACTGACAATAGATAATGTACCTGATTTGCCTGCAAGCTTTCACCGAATTTCGCTAATGTGACCACACCTTTAACGTTAGCTCTAATCCGTATGTGTTTGCTAGCAGCATGCATAGGGAATGCAGAGACATACACAGAGGACCCCTGTGGTGCGGGTTTCTAAGGCGACCCGAAAACGGCCGTAACCAGGTCCGGCTCTTTCTCAGGCTTTCCTCAAAGAGGGACATGTGTAGGCCCCCACTATCCCTCACCCACACTCAATCCGGACAGTGTGGCCGGACACAGGCAAGCAATAAAACCTGGATTAGCGGAGCGTTCACACATAACACTAGAGCGAGAAAGTTTCTTAACATGCCCTAGCCCACCCTCTCCTCACACACGTCTCTCCTCTCTTTCATTCCCTCCATCTCTCCTTCTTTTGTGTCTGCGTCTCTCCTCCCTCCTCTTCCTTTGCCGCTTTCTCTTCAGAATTTCATTGTTTGTTATTACCATGTTAGAGATAAAGGAGGTCTGAGGAATTAGCTTGTTCTTACAGTTGCAGAGAAAATCCGCTTAAGTCCGCAACCCCCAAATTTGCGGTACCCAGAAGCCCCCTGCTCTCGGGATTTAACTAGAATGCGTATCTTTGTGGTGGGGGGAAAAAATCATTTTGTAAGGTGCCAACAGGGCTGAGATGGAGCAGTCCGACCCGTCTCCGGGCCCCCGTCCCCGCATCATGTCCTGGAAATGGGTGCATTTGTATAATATCACAGCTTTTGTCCCTACTTTGTAAGCTGGGGACAAAGCCCAGACGCTCATCCCCCCCCAAACAAACCTTTTTCATTAGAGCAGCAAACACTTTCCCCTTCAATAGCCCTGATACTACGCATCATCCCCGGCATCTCCGCGGGACTCGAGCGCTTTAAAGCACCTCTCTTCTCTCAGGACACAGAGCTTGCTTAATTAAACCACACTTAAGCCAGACAATAAGCCTTTGCACAGGTCTGGGCGAGCCCGCCGAGAGTATTCATGGCCGTCGTAAAGCGAAAGCCGCGCGAGAGAGAGAGCTATATGCCAGATACTTTGTTCACACAAGATGAAGAGTCAACAGCCACCCCCACACCATTTCTCTCCTAATAACCACCTTTAGAAAGGCTCCGTCCCTGCACAATGCTTCTCCGCTCCGCTCCTCTCGCTCTCAATCACCCTCCAGGACAATGCCTAAAGCTCCGCAGCCCCCCAGGACCCTCGGCCCCACAACAGACACTTCTTTTATTGAAATTCTTTGGTGTTCTAATCCTCAGCTTCCTCTATAGGACAATAATGGAGTGTCAGTACTTTAGCTTTTTCCAGTGTGGCTATCATTAGACCGGCTTGGGTCACAAGCCCTCTCTTCCTCTTCTCTCAAGTTTGAAATTATTCTTGACTCGGGTTTTTGAAGCTCGAAAATGAATACATTACCAGGGCATATTGCATATTTCGGGGTACTGTTATCCTTGCAAAGCACGTCGCCTGGCACGCATTCTTAAGCAAATATCGAATCAGATGTGAGAAACGTAGACCGTATTTATTTTCAGAGTGTGACAGTCCAAACCCCAGGCCCCAGATGATGATATTAGAGTTCTGAATGAATGGATTTTATGTTAAAAAGAGGGTAGTGGAAATAATGTCACTCGTATGTGTTAAATATGACATTTGGGGATAGAAGGTTTATCTGTGTCAGTCTAAAAATGTCTTTTTGCTAAGTTTTCACAGGATTCAAATGTACCTCAGATTGAAAAAAGGTTCTTACCATGCTTCCTTAAAAGATTAGTTGAAAGGTTGCAAGTATGGTTCTGCTTCCATGTGTACCATATTTAATGTGCTATATAAATAAAAGCCGAAATTAAATCTTTGGTCACACTTTATTTTAAGGTCCAATTCTCGCTATTAACAAACCATTAACTATGACTTTTGCCTCACTAAATTACTAATTTGCTGCTTATTAATAGTTAGTAAGGTAGTTGTTAAATTTAGGCATTTTGTAGGATTAGGGATGTAGAATATGGTCATGCACAATATGTGCTTTATAAAAGTACTAATAAAAAAAAACAATATGTTAATAATAGGCATGCTTATAAGCAACTAGTTAATAGTGAGAATTGGTCCCTATACTAAAGTGTTACCAAATCTTTTTATCATATCATATAAAGCAATTGCGTCTCTTCAGAAGACTTGGATTAAACTGCTCGGTTCATATGGATTACTTTTTTTTTGTCTTTATGAACTTTCTAAAGCATCAATGTTTTGGTGGGTAGTACGGTGACCGGGAGGGGACGTCTTCGGTTCACTTAAGTTTTGTTGTGGCCACGACATATTAACTCGTGGGAACGTGGTATGTCGTGGCCACGAGATCATTTTGTCGAGGTAACTACATTCTTATGAGTTTAATACGTAAACAAACCTGCGTGACCATAGCAACCCGGGATTATCAGAGATGGATTCATTAATATTTTATTTTGAATTAAGAAATTATTATATTCATTATTAGACTATATAAATCATTACATTATTAAATTATTATATTAACCATAGGCTTAGGCTACCGGACTATAGGCTATTGCACGCGATGTAGACAGCACTCAAATTAAATTTATCATGAATAAATGTTA